TTTTATATTTTGAGACAGGGCTCACAGTCACTGAGTTGTCAATGCTGGGATCAAACTTGGAATCCTCCTGCCTCAGCCTCCCAGAGTGCTGGGATTACAGGTGTGCACCACCATGCCAGGCTCAAAGGCAGGAGTTCTTAACCTTCCATGACCTCAGCCCTCCTGCTTCCTCTGTTCTTTCCTTCTTGTTGGATTGAGAAAGCATCCTCTGGGAGAAATCTGTCAGCCAGGCAATGGCACTTTAATGTTTTACATGAAACAGCCAGGCTGAACCATGTCAACACATGCCCCAGTGGGATTCAGACATGATTTTAAAATGGCCTGCTCTTCTTCAATTACCACACTGCAGCGTGGCTTTGGAACATGACTCTCACTCTAGCCTCATCAAGTTTCTCAAACCATTAGCTTTGTACAGGCCTGTCTGTTGAATAGGTGACCCCCTTTGATAGAACAGGGCACTGCTGAGAAAGTGAAGCCTGGAGACCTGATCTTCACAACCTCTAGCTGGAAATGGTAACCCTTCTACTTCCTGCTGTTAGCATGGACTCCAAGCCCTGATCCTTCATGCCATCCTGCACCTCCCCAGCAGAGCACTTCTCCCTAGCATGCCAGGCAGTGGCACTGAGTGCAGCAGCACCCTCATTCACCATGAGCTACTTGCCCAGTGTTCACAGGATGTCCTATTCTTGGAATCTCCAAGATGGTGTTTTGTTTATTGTATCTCTGACATGCCTTCTTCACATGGACCCCTGTCTGGATGTCGTGAGTCATGTGGCACAGTGATAAGATGTGCTTCTTCTCTGGAGAGCTTTTGTGGATACACTTGGCATGTTGAACACCTGTTTCTCTTGTTACATCTGTCCCTTTATATTCTCACATCATTGTTTGAACTTGTGTCTTACATCTTTTTGCTTTGTAGCATAGTTGTTTCTGGGTCTGCCTCCCTCATTACACTGTGATTCCCTTCAGAGTGGAGCTGTGTATCTGAACCTTTGGCATGGAACTGGGTGTCTGGAAAGTGATTAGTGCTTAAGAATTATGTATCATATGGGACAGGCCTGACAGTATCTCAGATGTTGTGTATCATCTCCTCCTGCTTACAATGTTTTGATTTTCTTTATGTACCAAGCTCTGTCCTTGGAACAAGAACAGTATTTGTCCAACTAGATACTGCACATTTATGTGAGAACCCAGTAAATGAACCAAGAATATGCTTATAAGGCATGCAGACACATCCTCAGGGGTTGTCAGTTCAGCAGAACAAATAATTGAAATTATCTCTTCAGGCACCAAAGAAAAATCAGCCTCTTCCTAGTAAATGCACTTTGCTAGTTATAGGATAATAATCCTGAGGTGGTGATGCTAGCACCTTCCCTTCTGCCATTTGGAACAATGCTCTTGCGTAGTGATGCTTCATCAGCTCCCCATCCCAGTTTCCTGCCAGGTCTTTATCTCTTGTCCCTGCGCTTTCCTCTGTAATAGGGTGGTGCGTGTAGATCTCTTCCCTTCCTTTTTTCTTCCTCCCTAAGCAATTCTTAGCTTCACCGTAGCGTCTTCCTCTTTTACACCTCTAAATTTTAAAAAACTATGTTGTGTTTTTATTTTTGCAATACTGGGAAATGAACCCAGGATCTTTGCACTGAGCTACATCCCAGCTCTTTTTATTTTTTATTCTGAGACAGGGTCTTGCTAAGTCACTAAGTTTCTCAGGCTGAGCTTAAACTCACAATCCTCTTGGCCCAGCCTCCCAGAGTACTGGAATAACAAGCATGTGCCACAATACCCAGTTTAAAAACTGTATTGTTTGAAATTTCTAAATAAAGGAAAACAAAAGGAACAGAATTGTCCTCCCACATGAATAATAAATCTGTTGATATAAAGCTTTCTTCCTGACAATTCACCCTTCAAGTTCCCCTATCCAGTGATAATTATAGTTAATATTTTCTTGTGTATTTTTCAAAGTCTTTAAAATATTATATATATCAGCATATAAAAACTGAAATTGATATACAGTATTTTTATTTATATAGATGGGCCCCAAATAAGTGCTCTGGACTAATCCCTTGTCACTTAATGTATCTCCACAGACCCCTCTCCCTCAATAGCTACCTTAGTCTTTGTAACTATTTTGAAATATTCCATTGTGTGGATGGTCTAATTTGTTCCTTATTGGTAGGCATTAAGATTTTTCTCCTGAACATTTACAGTTTCAATAATAAAAGTGTAAATCTCCACATATGAGTACATATACCTTTGAACTTTTCTGCAGAGGAAATGTACATTTTATGTCTTGACAGTTATTGCTAAATTGTTCTCCAAAAACTAAATTAGCTTTTCACTAATTTAGAAATTCATCCAAAGTGTTCATACCTGATTCTGTCGAATTTTTCTGGTTTTAGTCAATATGATAGAAAATTTTTATCTCATAGTTTTGATTTATATTTCTTTGAGCAAAAATGATTACTATTTTGAATTTATAGGTAGTCTATAGTTTATCTGTGAACTGCCTATCCTGTCTTTTGGCTCTTTTTCTGCTTGGTTAATCTCTTTTCCTTGTTGGTTGTGTGAGATCTTTAGCTATTTCCACAGACCTCAATCTAAAATAATCAACAAGCCACTGAGTCTCAAGTCAGTGTGTTTTAATCTTCTGCACAGGACTATGATTAGGTATTTTTCTCACTTCTTTATGGGTTTCTTTTCTCTAGAATATAAACAGAGCTAAGATCTCATCTGTCTTGTTCTTGGAGAAATGAGTTAATGAATATGAAAAGAATTAGAATTCCTTAACATTTGAGCTTATGTATGTTCTGCTAATACTGTTAAGTGTGAATGGGTTCTATCGTTCTGGATGTGCTCATGTGAGCATGTTGGATGCATCCTGAAGAAGATGACTAGATACAAAAAATTTAATCCCCAATATTTATTTTGCTGTTAGTAAGCTATTTAGCTCTAGGCAAGCTACTGAAACTATATGATTCTATTTCCTTACCTGCAAAACAAGCATAATATTTTTCTTTCATTAGCAAATAGTAGATTGCTTACCTCCCAACCTTTGAGAATTATTGTATTAAGTAACAGAATTCCAGTAAAATTTTTAATTAAAAATATTAGGGTCTCTTGGTTAAACATTGCACTTTAAAAATATTTTATTTGCTTATCTCTAGTACCTCTCTCCCTATATCCTGCAACAACAACAACAAAAAGATGATAGAAGTATTTTTTTTTAAGGTATAAGCTTAAAAGAACAAAATATAGACAAGGAGATGGTAACAAGAGGGGGATATCAGCAAAATTTTTGAAGTTGAAATGTAGTCAGCAGTAACTGACTTAGTGAAACAGGAAAAGCCAGAACTTATTTGCAAGAAGGACTAAGAGAGAGGTTATTAAAATTCAGGAACTGCAAGCACCTGGCACCCCTGAGGCTAGAGTTGAAAAAGGAAGATGGAGCTAGATTGAGAGCCTAAAGGAGGAGCTGTAGACTAGAAGAGCCCCCCCCCCACACACACACTGAGTATTTATTAAAAGGAAAGTTTTCAGAATGATGACAGGATATACTAGAGGGGAAGTTTGGGTTGAAAATAGTAATACTTTTTTTTCTTAGTAAGAATTTTTAAAATAATACTATTAAAATTAATAAATGGAATACACATGCTATTAAGAAGGACATAATTTTGACAAGACTGCCCAGGAATTCAAAGTAGTTGGTCAGGCAAGGGAGAGGACAGGAGTTGGTTTTATTTTAGTATAAGCTATAGCAATATTAATAAATAATACTGAAATTTTTAGACTTTTAAAGCTAAAAACATATATTAAAGTGATACAAAAATAAAAGATTTTATGCCTTTATGGAAAAGGGGGAACCTGGCACAAGGCTTGGTATCTACTTCTTAATAAATGTTTGCTGAATGGATATTATTCAGTTATTTTGAAAACTGTCTAGTTTTCTATTGTTGTTGCTGTGTAGAAATTAAGATTAAATAATGTACTTAAGAGACTGATGAGCAATCAAATTATTTCAAATATCACATTGTAGGAAATAAGTCCTTTATTGTGCAAACTGTGGAACACTAGATGGCCTTTGAAGAAATAAAAAAAAAGTCAATCTGAATTTTGAGTTCTTTTATACTTTTCAGCAGGAAGTTGTGGAGGGGAAGGGTGCCACCACCATTCACTGCTCTGTATTGTCAAGATGTGACACTGTTTTTTCTACCAGAAAATCTCTCTGATTCAAACACCAATTTATGATTTGGGCTTGATACTTTCTTTTTTCTTTTTCCTGTCATTAAAATGGAACTGAAAGTCAATCTGCCTCAAGGTAAACAACTGGTTATTAGAGAAACCCTGACACTTAGTCCTTTGGTATGACTGTAAACATAGTCAATGACTCTGGAAGAAGTTGCCTCTTCTGAGAAGATATTAGGATGTTGCAAGCTAGATATTAGTAATGATATAGTAATGTGACCTATATGAAGCAAAATATCCCTTTCAGGGACCCCAAAGTTCTGCTAGTTTGGGAAGTAACTGATAATGGGTGAATGCTTATTTTCCAGGAACAAGCATGCTTTACTGAGTTGAATATTTATTTGTAAGTTGCTATGAATTTAATAGGAAAAAGTGCTAGAAAAATACCAAGAAATAGTATTGTGTGATACCCTCAAAGGAACTAATTTGATTTGTTTGTCTTTGTAAGATGTTGATGAGTTTGAGTCACATTGTATTTTCCTCCCTGTATCTTGTACCTCTTGGTCTAATTTGTTGACCACGCATGTTGGTTTTTTAATCTAATTTTACATTCATGGAGCCATTCTGTTTGACTAAGCCACAATTATTTTTGCTACTTATTTATATAAAAAAATAATTTCGCATCCGAAGAGTACTTAAGTGAAGGTTTCAAAAGTGAAATATTGCACCAGCTAAGATTAAATATTTAATTGATTAGGGTGTCTCCTGTACAACCATGTTCATTGAAAACCATATTTTAAAACTTTCATTGTTCCTAGAATAAATTACCGGAACCTATACAACAACCACATGAAGAAGAAAAAGCCAAAATCCATCAACCTGAGCACAAGAGGTATAACTGGTTAATAAAATAAGCATCTTTGGTAGAATCAATTACTTATAAAGTTTTGCAGTGTTTTGGGAAAACACTACAGTAATAATATTAAATATAGTTTCGGAATCCATATTACCTTTTAGTCTTTGTTATTGGGTTATGGTGTATATACTTGTATGTGGTAAACCAACTGTTATATACATATATATATATATATGTATGTATATACTCATGTATACATATACGTCCCACAATATCTTATTTTTTTCTATAAATATATATTTACATTAGAAAACTGAATCATGCTCTTTAGCTATATGCTTATTTAGGTTACATTTAATTTGCCATCTGTGGGAAAGAACCTTATAATCCTTTGAGATGATGCTTTAATATTTGTAGACTACTTTAGAATATTGAATTAGTACTGATGCCAGATACCAATACTTGAATACAAAAGCTCAAACAAAAACTCATTAAAGTTATTTCATATCGATTCATACACTAGGGGAAAAAATTTCAAAACAGAACCAGTAAGTGATTTTTTTATAATGTAAGTACTCTCTAGCTTATTGGTGATATCAGAACTAAGTACGTGAGAGTACCCAGTAAAATCTTGCATCGATGATGGGGGAGTGCTCATGGCCGCCATATTGTCTGGCACTGTTATGCTGGGATTCTCCTGGGAGGCACTTAGGTTATTAGAGTTCATGAGAAGGTGGAGTGTGGGGGTTAGTGGTGTCTGAGTGTCTTAGAAAAACTTAATATAAGTACAAATCCTTCTTTTGAAAGTGAATAACCTCCTTATATATTTAATCTTCCTGCTATCATTCAGTGTCCTTTTGAGGTGTGGTGAATTCATTTTATAAACGAGAGACTAAAAGACATTCAATAGAGGCTCCTAGCTCTGATGGTATCACTCACTGTGGATGGTTGCTCATGTGCTTTTGATGGGACAACGCTGCCTCCTTATTCTAGTCAAAGTAGTTTCAAATGTGAATTTGTGTTTTTCTCTGATATAAGGAAATATCAAAACTTTGAGATATTGGTTAGGCTGTTTTATTGGGTAAGGTGAGAGGGGCACTTATTGTTCCCTAGTTATTATAAAGTAGGTTGTAAATTATTTAGTCCTTTTTATTGGTTTTTTTCAACTGTCTTTTTGTTTTGTTTTTGAGACAAGGTCTTGCTATGTAGCTTGGGCTGGCCTTGCACTAACTATGTATCCCAGGCTGGCTTCAAACTTGTGGCAGTTTTCCTGCCCCAGCCTTCCAAGTTCTGGGGTTACAGGCATGTGCCACCACACTCAGCTCTCATTTTGACTTTTGAAGACTTTCTGTTAAAAAAAACAAAAAAAAACCCCCTGTGACTATATTTATGTAGCCCTGGTTACTAGTACTAGCCTATTATGTATTTCTCTGGATTTCTGAGGATAAATTGGATTCAGAAGGCTTAAATGTCTTGTTTTTTTTTTTTTTTTTTGGTGCCTGGGGATCAAACTTGGGTCCTTGCATTTGTGCAGGAGGCGGTGAAACCACTGAGCTAAATCCCCGGCCCTTAAATATCTTAAAGATAGTGATGTGTCACATTGATAGGCTCCATTGGTAATAAGTTAATCTTTAATAGGACCTAATAAATGCATAAATTATTTGATTACAGGTGGAAAAAGTTATTATTTTTGCTATAGGAATCTTGGCCCTCAATCTTTAAATTTATTTCCATACCACCGAATACTATTGGTGGGGAAGTTTATTTTCTATACCTTATTTTCTCTTTTATTGATTCTAGTTAAATGTAGAAAGAACCAAATTTAATCCATGAGGAAATTTCTCTGAATAATAAACTCATTAATCAGTTTTGAAATAAGATCATCTTTAAACCCTTATTTTATGTTCATAATCAATTTTGAAGAGAGCCTACATTTGTATTACCCTTGAAGTTTACAGGGAGCTTTCCCATAGTATCATATGAGACTATTCATTCCATAAACTCTTAATGAATAAAATAGCCATGTCAATTCTTACTCAGGGCAACAGCACAAGCTATACAGTATGTGTGTAGGAAACATAAATTAGGTGTTCTCTAGGGCATACTTTCATTGGAGTTGAAAAGACAATATTCTTTCTTCTGTTTAAAAGTTCGCATAGCAGAGCCCTCAACCCTGAGATTTATAACAGAAAACTTGTGGGATTCCTCAGTGAATCCTGAAATGAGTCCTGTAATGAGCTTGAGCCTGAACCTGACCCTGACCCAGTCCCAGTGTAACTATTTGAGCAAGAGAAGACAAGTAGAAACTCCAGAGAGAACTGATGGAATATGGGGATCAAGAGCTTAAAAGGATCTGTGTTACAATTGAACAAAATTGATTTATTGAAACTTGAACCCCCTCTAAATGTATCTGAATTTAGCCCTAGTAGAAAACCGAGGACACAAGTTTAACAGCAATAAAATATATCTGTCATATAAAAAGTAAACAAACGTAAACTGGAATACCACTCTCCCCCATTTGGATTCTTGATAGGAACTGAGAGAAGCAACCTCTTTACTACCTGTTAGCTCTTGTTGACCCATAATATAGTGGACAGGACATTGTAGGATACTCCTAAAGCATAAGGAGAACTCAGCAACTCAGATCTTCTAAGGAACTGATGCTCTAAATTGAAGGAATTGCCTTATTTCATGACAATCAAGAAAGAGAGAGCAGTTGACAATAAGATGATGTGCATTTCACACTCACCAGCAATGGAGTTTTCACAGTGCAGCTCCTGTCATGGCAGCAGGGATGTACCTGGAAGACTCATTCATTTGATAAGTACATTAGGGCACACTCTGCCAAGGCTTTGTTCTAGGTAATGAGAATGGCGTACATAAGGTCAAAAAGGTACCTGACCACTGTAGATAGTATAATCTGGAAAAAAAGAAACCGAAGTGAAAAATTAAACACCAAGATTATTTGAGATGGTGGTAAGTACTATATGGACTAAATCAAAGGATATGATGATAAGGGAGAGACTGGAGGTGACAGATGACTAAAGAAAACTGTGCATGGTGGCACATGCCTGTGATCTCAGAATTCTGAGAGGTGGAGGCAAGAGGAGGGCAAGTTCAAGTCCAGGGCAACTTAGTGACATAGTGAGACCTCCCTGTAAACATAAAAAATTAAAAATAGAAAAGGGCTGTGAATGTAGCTCAACACAAAGATCCTGGGTTCAATCCCCACTACTAGAAGGGAAAATAAAAGGCCTCACTGAAGAGCTAAGATCAAAGGACAAGGAAGAGCCAAGAACACAGAAAGTGGGAGCAGAAAGTGGTCCCTGGATGGTCCTTTATCAGGGAAAAGAAGAAATGCAAAGGATTTCACATGGGAATGACATTGGACTTTGAGACCCAAATGATTGGACTACAGTAAGTGAGGAAGAGAATACTGTACAATGAGGTAAGAAAGGTAGGCAGTAGCAAGGCCATATGATGTTGCAAAAGCCAGCGATTTTATTTTCAGACCAATGGGAAATTATGGGAGGTTTTTAAGCAAAAGGAAGGCAATATCTCATGGGTAATTTTGAGAGGTTGCTGTGAAGAGAATGAATTTGAAGCTGGGAGTGGAGCAGTAGCCAGGAAAGGCAACAGTGATCAGAACTAGAATGGTGTTCATAGAAAGAATTGGGTAAAGTCAGGCTGTGTTGAGTAGGTAAAATAGACAAGATCTGGAGTGATTTGGTTGTGGGGTAGGGCATGTGGGAATGCTGAGGGAAAGCTCCTCTCTATCACTGACAGACTGGTTGAAAGTGGCCCCAAGCATACAGGTAGCCTGCAGTGCTCTTGTTTATATTGCTAAAGGGGGGTTGGTTCAGTTTTTTCTTAATATTCAGGTCTGCAGCTCAGTAGATACTGTTCAGCCTGCTTACTGAGCAGGTCAGAAAAGGTGACTTACACAGTAAGCTCTGCAGTCAACCAGCTGACCAGAATATGGCACATGGCTGGATTTCATGGTGAGAGGGGAAAAAACTCCGTCAAAGCTGAGAGGGAACCTGATGGGACTTGGAGTTGTGGAGAAATAGCAACTCAATAACCCAGAGGTCAAAACAAGTCAAAACACAGCTGGCTTATTGGCTACCAGTAAGTAAGTACAGCCAGTCAGCCTCCAACCTTTGACCAGCCATTATTGTTTTTCAAAGTCCCCAAGTATCTGTTGATGACTTATAGCCACTCACCATGACCAAATTCTTCTAGCTGTCATGACTGAAAGGAAGCTACTGTGTCTGATTGCCATATTCTCTTCCTTCCAGAAATGTATGTTGAGTGGCTGCTATGTGCCAGGCACTATGTGTCTGCCTTGAAGAAGCCCATAGTCTTATTTGCACAATTCCTAAGTAATCTGTTGCTAGTTCTCTAGCTTCCAAACTCCTAACTCCCCTCAGCCATCCATAGGCAACTTGGAGCATGATGCTGCCTTTAATTTATATTTTTAACATTAAAAATTATAATATGAAACATATGGAACAGTTCATACAGCAAATATTTACAATATTAAATTAAAAAATGAAACTCCAGGTAGCCAACCCCTCAGATAAACTACAGTTGATCCTCCGTGTCTGTTGGTTCCACATCCATGGATTCAATCAACTGTGCACTGAAAATATTTGAAAAGAGTATTGTCTGTCACGAATGTGGACAGACATTTTCCCTTGTTATGATTCCCTAAACAATACAGTATAACAGATCTTAACATAGCACTCACACTGTATTAAGTATTAGAAGTAATCTAGAAATGATTTGAAGTATATTGGAGGATGAGCATAGGGTATATGCAAATACTATGTCATTTTCTATGTCATTTTCATAGATTTCAGCATTAGTAGGTACCATGGTGGTGGGGTGTCCTGGAACCACTCCCCTGTGAATCTTGGGAGATGACTTTCTGACCATTACACTAAATGTAGTCCTTCTATCTTGACTTTTGTGAAATTTTCAGGATTTCTGAAATTGGTTGTTGTGGTTATGTCAGAGTGTCTGGGAAAGAAGTACTCATTCCTTTTTAAAAAATTTTTAGTGTATGTTTGCAAAACCTAATAATTGCATTCATTTTGGCATATTACATCATGGCCAATTTTACTCCCCTCTTCTTCCCTAGGTCCAGTCCTTGTTTTGAAAGTTTGAGAGGGCCTCTCTTCTGATATTTCACTTTTCCCGTACTCGCTTCCCATTTTCCTTCTGATTTCATTGATGAGTGTTTACTTGAGCAAGACCTGCAATAAAGCACAGAATATGTGGGAATGATGTCTTTCTTGTAAAAATAGTACCATCTTCTGTTCTGGTCCCTGCTGAAGCTTTATTTCTCAGTCTCTGGGGTTTGTGGCTCTGAGGGGTGCAGTTGTTTGTGTGACCAAGGCTTTTTGCTGACGTGGTGGAAGATGGGTGAGTGAAACCTTGAAGTTAAGAATTCAAGCTTGAGCCATGACTGGCACCAGCTCCAGTAAAGGACCATTCCCAGCGTGCCATGTGGGGAATGTGAAAAGACATTTCTGTAGATTTCTTCTAAGCTGAAGTGAGGCAGCAATCCCCACAGTCAGTTCATACAGCACATTAGCTTCTCAAAAGTCTCTTAGCCCTGCAGCAAGCTTTCTACTTACACACATTTTTCATTGTTTTAAAGGGTAAATAATGCTTTTCTGGACCGACTCCAAGGCAAAAGTCAACCAGGTGGCCTCCAGCAGTCTAGAGGCTATTGGAATACGAATAGTGGTAACAGCTGGGTGAGTTTTTTTTCTTTTCTCTTAAAAGAAATCATCTTTCCAAAATGAAAAATAAAAACAATGAGAATTTTTAAAATATGTTGTAGCCTTCTCCCCAGATATTATTTTTTTGGTGTGCTGCTCAGCTGTACAATGGGCAGTCAGCCAGCGTGATTACTGTAAATTCCACAGAAGCTTCTGAGAGAGTGAGAGAGAGCGAGAGCAGCCTGATTTCAGTCCTGGCCAATCACAATAAAAAATGACACCTGCCCTTTGTTCTAGCATGATTGCCTGGACTGTAAGGCTTTTTATCACCCTTTGTCCAGACCTATGACAAAAATAAATGAACATTATTTTTTTAGACGATTTTTAATGAAATATAGTTATAAAATAGCATGCATTCTTCTTCAGTAATATATTCCTTTCTGTGAAACTAGCACTAGCACATCAAAGAAACTAATATTTAATTTTTTATTAAAAAATGATTTTTTAAAAAACCCTAAAGCAAAAGGTACTTTTTGAAAATGAAATGTTCTTATGTATTTCTGTGAAGAAAATTTTGTAACTGTATTGTAATAGTATGTGATATATTTTGTGTGCATAATAATATATTAAAAAATAATTTGAAACTAGCACCAAACCAGAAAAAAAAATCAAAGCTTCAAAATGTGTGATTGTGAGGACCACAACATGAGTAGAATCAAAACTACAGTGAGTTTAATGGTTTAATTGAAGTCCAACTGCATATGTGCTTACTCTAAAATATATATATATATATATATAGAGAGAGAGAGAGAGAGAGAGAGAGAGATAGAGAGAGAGAGAGAGAGAAAATAGTAATCTTTAAACTGGTAAAATCCATCTGGGTATGGTGACACACACCTGTAATTCCAGCTATTTAGGAGGTTGATGCAGGAGGATCATAAGTTTGAAGCCAGCTTGTGTACCTTAGCAAGATCCTGCCTCAAAAATAAAAAAGAAATGGAGATGTGGTTCAGTTAATGTAGGGTACTTGCCTAGCAAAGGTGAGGCCCTAGCTTCAGTCTACAGGACCCCAGTAAACAAACAGGTGAAATCTAGCAAAATAATCACCCATTTGCTAACCTGAAAACTCTGGAGTAGATCACACTTTAATACATACTTGAGGGCCATAAGATCATTTTAGAGAAGTTACTGTATTAGAAATCTTATTCATATGTTTCCTGAAAGGCATCTAGTAGTTAAAATTGAAGATGGATTTTATGAATGTATACGTATTTAAAATACCTGAACATAAGCAAATTTGCAGAGACTGTATTCTGGATATGTCTACTTTATTGATAATGCAAATTTATTAGCTTTGCTGTGACATTCAGAATAGGATAACATGAAAAAAAGAAAATAATTGAAAGAGTATTTTTGTGTTGTATGAAACAATATACACAGTATTATCCATGAAAATATGTGGGTAGGAGTCATATGGAAAATGGAGCATTTTGAAGACATTGTCCAGATTCATATAACTTAGTTGTGAAATTACTTTAGAATTCAGATTTTGTTTAGGACTGGGAAACTCACTGTAGATTTGTCATTTCTCCTCTACTTAACATCTTCTAAAATTTGTAAAATACCTACAATTGAGAGAAAGATGATAGAAGAATACAAAGGTGCATAGCATAGTATTCAGCTAAGGAAATGAGAATTCAACAAGCTGGCTCACCAGTGGCTCTTGGTCAGCCTCAGAGAGTGAGCTACAAATCTTTGTTTAGACTCCTTGACAGATAAGAGAGAGGACTACTGTTTTCTCCTAATGTAATGGTGAAGATGACCGGGGGAAATGTTTTTAATAGGATAGGCAACCCTAAAGTTGGATTGATTCTTCCTTTACTTGAAAGAAGCAGTGACGGAAGGGTGAGAATTGGATTTCGGTTCCTGCTTTTCCTTGTGGACCAGTTCTATCTCTTCTACCTATGGGATACTTTGTTCCAATAATATGTCCCCTCTCTCCAGAATTATCAGATGCTCCATCTCAACTAGAAAATTCCCATCAGCTTAAAAACTATAAATTCTACTAGCCTCTTTCACTTTTGCTCCTACCCTATTTCTTTGTTTGCCATGATAGCAAAACTTTAAGAGATGTCTATCTTTGTTCTAATTTCTTTCCTTCTACTTTTTTCTTAAACCCATTCCAATCAGTTTTAGACTCTCTCAGTCTAAAATATAAATGTTCTTTTCATGGTCACTAATCATGCGCATATTTCAAAATCCAGTGGTTACTTTCCATCTTTGTGTTTGGCCTATCAGCACCACTTTCTTTGTTTTTAAAAATATTTTTCTTGGTTTCTAGGGCACTATATTCTCTGGGATTTCTACATATCTCATTGGCCATTTCTTTTAATTCTCCTTTGTGAATCCTCTGCAATTGCCTGTACTCTTCAACAATGGAATGTCCCAGGGATCCACTTTTTTTTAAAAAAAAATTTTGCTTCATTAATATCTTAGTGGCCTCATTCATTCTAATGAAATTGAATACCTTCTATATGCTTATGGCTCCCAAATTACTATTTCCATTCTAAACCTCTTCTTTCAAACTCCAGACTTGCACATCCGGTTGTCTGCCCAGCATCTGTACTTGGGTGTGTCGCAGATATTTTAACTTTAACATGTCTAAAACTTAATTTTTTATTCCTTCCAACCCAGTGCTCTATCTGCTCTTTTCCATCTTTCCATGTAATACTACACAATCCTTCTCTAACATCACCTACAGCTAATCCATCAGCAAAACTTCTTGACTCTCTCTTCCAACTATATCCAATTTAATAGCTTCTTACCACCAGTGTTCATCCAGATCCTGCCAGTAATCTCTTTGTCTTAGCCATTTTTTCATCTCTGAGACTCAATAACTTAAAGAAGGAGAGGTTTATTTTGACTTACTTCCTTTTCTTCTCTCTCTCTCTCTTTTTTTTTTTTTTTTAGGTTCAGTTCATAGTGGTCTGACTCTAAGGCAGAAAGGGCATGGTGGAAGGGCTAGGGGAAGAAAGCTGCTCACCTCATGGCAGCTAGGAAAAGAAAGAGAAAGAAAGGAGTAGCTAGGGACAAATATACACCCTTCTAGGTTACACCCCCAGTGACCCACCTCCAACCAGGCCTCCTAACAGCACATTTGGCTACTGTACTCATCAATGGACAAATCTACTGATGAATATAGCACCGTCAATATCCAATCACTTTCCACAGATGAGTATTTTGGAGGATATTTTAGATCCAAACCATAGTACTCCCCAATAATTTTCTTGCTTCCATTCTTACCACCTGGATCTGTTCTCAGTAGGAGAGAGACTGAAGTCAGATACTTTCACTCCTCTGCCCCAAACCCTTCAATGGTTCCCGTAACTTGAAGTAGAAGCCTCAAAGAAGAAGTCCTTACAGTGGCCTACCAGTGTCCTGCATGACGAAGACCCATGTCACACCCTGACTCTCTCCTACTATTATCTTCCTTACCAATGCTCTCTAGCTGCCCTACCTTTCCTGAAGTTCTTTGAAAACTTCAGACACTGGCTGCCCTCACCTTAGGGATCTTGTTCCCTTCATGTTCTTGTTCAAAAATATTCATTTGGTTTGTTCTCCTTCATGATCTTTCTTAAATTCCACCATCTCATCAGGATTGTCTTGGCCATCCTATTTTAAGGCTGCCATCTGTGCCCTCCTCTGGCTCTTACAGTCCTCTTCCCAGGATCCACTTCCTTTTTCTATGGCACCCTTCCACTTCTGATGTGCTTTTCTAACATATTTTACTTGTATGTTTTGTTAACTGTTTATTCTTAATCTCTCCCCATGGTGATGAATGTTCCACAGTGATAGGTCCCTTTGATTGTTTTGCTCACTGATATATTCCAAGCATAAAATAATGACTGGAAACTTACAGCACACATAAGGAACAAGTGGTTGTGATTGAAAATCATGAACACAAATAGATTTAACCAAGACATTTGATATACTAAAATAATTAAATACTGTATTTAAAATCATTAGGTATAGAATATTTGATGAAATAAAAATTGGATTTGGCATAATAGCAAAACTAAGGAACAAATGAAAACTATAGTGCTCTGAGAAAGGAGGTTGAATAGGATATCAGAAAATGGAAAGACATCCCTTGTTCCTGGATAGGCAGAAAAAATATAGTCAAAGCGGCTATACTTCTGAAACTGTTACACAGATTTAACATAGTCCCAATCAAAATATCAATAGCATTCCTTACAAAACTAGAGAAAGCAATCCTAAAATTCATATGGACCCAAATGATACCTAGAATAGCAAAAGCAATTCTGGGAACCAAGGGCAAGACAGGAGGCATTGTGATCACTGACTTAAAGTTATACTACAAAGCTATACAGATAAAAACAGCATGGTATTAGTAAAAACAACAACAACAACAAAACAAATATGTGGGTCAGTAGAACACAATACAGGATGCAGAAATAAGTCAAAGAACACTCAGATACTTTATCTTTGACAAAGTGGCCAAATCCTTTTGCTGGAGGAAAGATAGCCTCTTTATCAAATGGTTTTCCAACTGGCTATATACATACTGATGATTGAAACTAGACCCATATCTCTCACCATGCACTAAACTAAAATGAAAATGGATCAAAGGTTTAAACATTAGAACAGAAAGACTTAATCTACTGGGAGACAAAGCAGGTAAAACATTTGAAGACATAGGTGTAAACAAAGATTTTCTTTCTTTTTTTTCCTTTTTCTTTTTCGATACTGGGGTCAAACTCAGGACCTTGCCCTTGCAAGGCAGGTGTGGCACCACTGAGCTAAATCCCCGGCAACAAAGACTTTCTGAATAGAACCCCAGTTGCACAAGAGCTAATACCAAAAATTAACAAATGGGGTCACATAAAAATACAAGCTTCTGCACAGCGATGGAAACCACCAGTGGAGTGAAGGAGTGAAGAGACAACCTACAGAATGGGAAAACAATTTTGCTAGCTACTCCTGAGACAAGACTAATATCTAGAATATATACAGAA